AAGGCAAAAATGTGGTGGGCACATCTGGCCATTTTCTAGCGGGAAGTTCATTGTCATTTTGCACATTTCGAGAGTGGTGTGGCGATGCCCTTTGTCATCTATTGGTCTCCAGGGTTTCTCTCTCTCCTCTTTCTTTTTGTTTTCTTTGGGAAGAAGTACATAAACAGCTCTCTCAGGGCATACTCACACTAGTCCCTCAAAATCAAAAAATTGCTAAATGAGCGGCCAGATGGGGTCCTTCGTTTACAAGAACTCTGGCCACTCATTGCACGATTTTGCGATTTTGAGGGCCTAGTGTGAGTATGTCCTCAGGTTTGGAAATGAAGAAGCTAGCCTGGCTGCAGTTAATCCCCTCAGCAAGAGGGCAATCAATGCTGCTCATCAAGATATATAGTGCCGTGTAATGGTTCGGCTTGTTGTGCAAAAAAAAAAAAAAAAAAAAAAAAAAAAAAGCTAGCCTGGCTGGTGTGCCCATAGATCTGCAGCTGCTTCCAGTGCTTGATCTGCATGTGTATGTGTAGGTACACAGGCGCATGGTAACCAGAATAGTTTCTCTTTTGAAACACAAAACCAACCTATTTCTTTTTTGTTTTTTTCTTTTGTTTTTCTATAAAACCACACTATGAAAAAAGCTGTATTAGTCCCCGGGCGGCCCAGCTGGGGGAAGGTTGCTCGAGTACCCTCCCGGGCGGCCCGGGCCGGGCAGGGGCCCGGGCGATCCCAGCGAAGAATATTTAAAAAAAAAAAAAAAAAAAAAAAGGATCTGAAAAAAAAATGTTGTGTAAAAATTGCAATACAAAACACTTTTGGCTGAGGGGCACCTCAAAATTGTTTGTTAATTTTAGGATAAAAAATAAATGAGAAAACATGAGTCCAAATGTACCCTTTTAAGTTTTAACCCCTTTAGTCACTGTTTATACCACCAAACCCTCCCTGGATGACCCATCACTGAAAACGGAGTTAAGACCGGATTCTGACTGCTGCTGGCCTGAAGTCTTTTTTTAGGGGGGGGGGATCCTTGCCTCTTTTTTGACCCGTCTGGTTTTGCCGGGCGACCCCCTCTCTGCCCAACTGGCCCGGGCGTGCCAGGCTGGGCGGTGGCCCAACATAGGAAAAAAGACAAAAAAAACAACAACCTATTTTTGTCCTTCACCCTTCTTTTATTTGCTCGTGACTTTTGAATGTGTTTTTGTTTTCCACACAATAGAAGCGGAGTCGTTTACCCTCCTTCCTAATATCAGTCTAGGGTTTTAAACCACCACTACCTTTCCCAGGCAACATTGAGAATCGAAAATGCAACATTCCGGGTTCTTCGGATGAACAGTGCTGCCGCCATGGTCACAATAAATAAAAAAGAAAACGCCGTGGTGACGCTTTGGCAAAGCTTGACGTGCAGTTATTTTACGCCTCGGCGAAAAAGACGCTCGGAGGTAGTGTTGGTTTGAAGTTCTGAATGGAATGATTTCAGAGAGGGGAGATAAAGCCCTCAGCATCTAAGCTGGAGGATGTGCTGGACATCTCAGAGAGTCCCTCTTGAACCGTCTCCGCCCTTGAGTTTGCCTTTGACTGAAAAAGCAAAGGAAGTAGTACAGATGATAAGGTCCTGATACAGGCAAGTAAATTCCAAGGCAGTGTCTGTCGGATGATAAAGTCCCGATTTATGCCAAACAACAGGTGGATGAGACGGATGTCAGGGAATGCAAATCATTCGGGCAGTTGATCTGGGTGCTTGTGGAGATTTGGGCTGTCTGCTTCTGGTTGTGTTGGCAGAAAAGCCTGAAGGGTTTGTGTTTGTTTGTGTGTGGGTTGTCTGGTTCTGTTCGGGAAGGTGGCAGAGACAGCAGCAGGAGTTTGTTCTCCAAACCTGCAGTGACGTCAGGGCGCTAAGAGGTCGCACTGCCTGAGAGAGTAGTGAAAGGAAGCAGGCAGGGAAGAGTCGAGCCTGTTGCTATGGAGGGGGAAGACGCAACTAGGCCAACTCTGCTGCTGAATTCTGACAGCGGTGGTAATAATGTGGGAGCCCAAGGTGGCCTGCAGAGCCCTAGTAAGGAGTCTGGCGAAACGTGTGTTGCTAAGGAAGTGACGGAGTCGATAGAGTCTAAAGACTGCGAAACTGTTTTGGCAGGGGGAGTAGGAGCCGGGCAAGCAAATGACCAGGCGTTGTCTGTCGAGGAAGGTGTGGTGGAATCCGAGATGAAAGATCATACAACGAAAGTTTTGACAGACATAGGTGAGCGGGTGGTAGATTCAGGACAACAAGATCTGCCAGTGCTTAGTACATCAGCGACGCCCATAAAGGCTGATGCTGGCGATGTGGCAGGAGAATCTCAGCAAGTACTTCCCTTAGATGACTCCAAGGATGAGAGCAGTGTGTCTAGCATTCTTAATGAAGGAGGACATAGAGAGGATGTTGGACATGAAGGCGCATGCATCACATTGCAGGATGCCAGGGATGGAACTGGTCATGCAGCCACAAGTCCTGGAGATCCGTACTCACCTTCACCGGAGAACCGAGATGTCAGGGCAGAGTCCACGGAGAGTTCAACCTCAGGGCCCAATACTGTGGCTCAAGTCCCTCACGGGACTAGTGAAGCACCAGCACCGGTGCCTGATGGTGTGGAGCCTCAGCCGATCCTTGTGGAGAAACAAGGTCCTCTTGTGGCCACGAGTGGTGTGTCCGCTGACGAGTCTGCTAATAAGAAGTCTGCTCCTGCTCAGGAGTCATACATGGTGGAGACTGGGCTGGCTTCGCCCATGGAACAGAAGTTAGCAGAAGTTCCAGAGGACAAGGCCCAAGAGGATGAGAAGGAAGAGAAGGTAGCAGAAGCTTCGGAGGGAAAGGAGCAAAAGGATGACATTCAAGGAGCTGATTGTTCCGAGGAAAACAAGTTAGGGGAAGGTGTGGAGGAGAAAATAGAACAACATGACGTTGAAGGAGAGAAGTCTCCAGGTGATCCTGAAGAATCTGGTTCTACTGCCAGGGAGGGCCTTGTTATGCAAGCAGAGGGTCTCTTGGTCTCAGAGGTTGGCACAGTACCTGAAACCAACGAGAAAAATACTAGTGTACACGATGCGGCTGAGAAGAATGGCGAAACAGGCGAGGCTGCTGTTGCAGAGGAAAAGAAGGAAACCGCTGTTGAAGTTGATGATGTTCGCCAGGCAAAAGAAGTGCTTGAGGTACAGGGTGCTGCTGCGGATGAAGAGCTGCCTGTGAGTAGTGCAATCCCCACAAGTAATGAGGGAGACTCCACAGTGGTGAAGGAAGGTGAATCAGTAACCACTTCAGCAGCTGTGAGCTCTGTGGCTGAGGCAGAGTCAGGGCTTGCTCCGCTGACTATAGCCCCAAATAACGGAACTGAAAATGTGGGTTCAAAGGATGGTGATGTTGTCAGCTCTGCCTCCGTGGCTGTACAAGAGGCACATAAGGCAGAGGAGGAGGATGCAGCAGAGCAGGGGTCAAGGGTAGCCCCAGGAGATATTCCAGGCAGTCCGTTACTCTACAGGAATGTAGTGGTTGAGACTAGCTCAACGCCGAAGGTGGGAGAAATTGTTACCTTGATAGAGAAGAAAGCCGAAAAGACATCAAAGCCTCGACCGATCCCTGCTGGTAAGCGTTCAAAATCTGATGATCCGAAGAAGAAATCTTCAGATGCTAAGTCAAGCTCACAGGCTGATAGTGAGGCATCCTACTCAGATACTACAGGTGATGACCGTAGCTTGAATCCTCACTCTGGACAAGAAGTGACATCTGCGGCCTCCATGAGGGCAGAAGAAGGGACACAACCTGGTGTAGATGGGTGTGAATCGTTGGGGTCAGAGGAAAAGGCGGCTCTATCGGCACAGACTCCGAAGTCAACAGAAGAAGAAGCCACAGCTGTGTTGGAGAAGGGTGTATTAAATGCACAGGCTGGAGGGAATGAAGCGGCTGTAAGTTGTGAGGCTGCAGCGGGTTCAGGGGCGGCTTCTAGCCCAGGTGAGGTGCCAGCTTCTGACAACCCTGCTGCAAGTGCGGATGCCTTGAAATCCACAGAACAGAAAGGGGCTGAAACCACTCCTTGTACGGCAACGGAAGCACCAGCGGAGGAGAACATAAAGTCATCAAGCAGAGATGAGTCCACGGAGAAAGCCGGAGAGAAGTCTCCAACTAAACGCAAGAAGGTACGAGCTTGCAACCTGTGCGTTCCGAATTGGTTTGTTCAGAAAACCTGGGAACACTGAATGTGACATTCCCACCCGCCACCCCCCTCGCCCCCTTTGCCGGGGCTCGCTAAAAAGAATGCCAATTGAATACTTGTGATTTGTTACTCATCTCCAGATCAAGGTGTTAAAAAAAAAAAAAAAAAAACATGAGCTTCTCACTTCTTCATGGCTATAGCAGACCCTAACACATGACTGACTCGATCAGTTGAATCTGGACTGTCTGACAGCATGTGGGAGTGATCGGATGTGAGGGGTTATGGAAAATGCAATGTTTCTGGTTTTTTTTTTTTTTTTTTTTTTTTTTTTCCCCATTTGTCTGGACGGAGGCAATCAATAGACACATTTTGATGTATTTCCAATTGGGCATGCTTCTTCCCAGTGGAAGGTTAAAGGCAATGTTGACCCCCTCCTTGTTCGCATGTCCACGGACACTTTCGAGACAATTCAACGAACAGTGAGAAGTTATGAAAGCCATACATTTACCAATGGGCCTAGCCCAGCTGGTAAACCCACAAACTGTCGAAATATAGATCTCAGTTTGAACTCAGATGCAAGTAGATGAATGGAATGAAATGGGTCGGTCAGTTCCATGATGATATCCCAAGGCCATTCCCTTTTTCCTTCCAAAGAAGCAAATGACATATGATTCTGCAGGTCTGTGCGTGTTTTCTGTCCACCATCACAGCCCTGTGTCGAACCTCAGGCAATGCAAACTTATTAACTTTGAAGTCTGTTGTTTCTGATGCCTAATTGGTATTAACTTCTCTGATGTTGTAATGATTGAGAAGGACAGTCTTTTTGAGGACTAGTAGCAGTGTTTTCTTTCCTCTTGCTGCTTTGGGTCCGTCCATTCTGGCAATCATGTTGTGAAGTCTGTGAAATATCCTTTTGCCCTCCTCTGTGCTAATGAGCTGAATCAGTGCTCGCAGTAGCACACTATCGTAATCGTATTGACCACAATTATCAGCTGGACCTGGATGTATCTGACAGCACGTACGTCCAGAAAACAGTAGAAAAGTCTTAGGGTGTGTATGACATCAGCGATGCCATCGAATGGTTTCCCTCTGTCAGCTGTTTGTGTGCGCAATGAATGTACTGCCGGATGTTTGGTAAAAATGCATGGGTAGGGTGTGGGCTTGTCAGGTAGCTCTGCACTATCGGACAGAACATGTCAGGGTAGTCGCAGTTGTGAGTCCTGAGTCCTCACAGTATTCGTCTACTTTTCCAGGTTTGACTTGATCGGGTATGGGGTCAGATCATGAGGGTTGTGGATTTGGTTGCAACTCTGACGATGCATGTTTTCCTTTGTATGGTGTGACACATGCTTTGTGAATGGGCTCTTAAGTTGAACGAAACCTGGATGTGATGATGTATGTATGCTAGTATTTGACTCTATGAATATCCGGGGCTTTTGTTTGTGTTGCGGTGGCTTCTATGGTGGCTTGCAGCTGGTGGGAAGGTTGAACCTCCATCTGCCTCACCTGCCTAATATGCTGCCGTTCATGCAGCGCCATTCCAAGCAGAAATCCCAGCAGTTGCAGCCAACAGATGGTGCAGCAGGGGGTGCAGTGCCTGCTTCAGGGCCAGTGACATCAGAGGAGCGGCCTGCTCATGCAGGGTACAAGCGACGAAGTATGAGTCTGCCGAGCAAGTTTTATTCATTCGCGGAGGGCTTACGCGGGCACAATCGGAGGAATTCGGATTCTCAAATTGTTGTTGATAGCCCGAGCCCATCGTCGCCACCGCATAAGAAGGCAGCCAGCCAGCGCTCCTTTGCAAAGATTTTCCATCGGCGCTCGCAGTCTGAAGCATCCACTCCACGGTCAGGCCTGTTCTCTGGATGGAAAACCAGTGCCGTTTCTGCATTCAATAAGCTGCGGTCGAGGAGTCGCTCTAGAGATGTATCCTCGATGTCGGATATTGATGCTACCAAGGAGGGTTCAAAACTGTCACACGATGGAGGATCATTAGCATCCACAGTGGAAACAAATGAAGCAGTCCCAGACACAGGCACCAAGCAGGAGAATGGTCATGCCGAAACGACGGCAGCTGACCACAAAAGTGGCAGTGAAGGGAAGGCGTCAGCAGACACGGACAAAGATGTTGCAGTTGTTGGACAGAGGCGGCTTCCAGATGATGAAGCGATAAAGTCGAAGTCTGAACCGGTTGTATCGGCAGTTGCTTCAGAGGTGAGGATCCAAATATCCTACCGATTTGTAAAGGCGGAAGTGCCGGTCTGGGGTGGGTCGGGGTTAGAGAGGGTTGTGGGGTGGAGAGTTGAGAGAGGAATGGGAGGAGGATTTGAGCCCGCTTGGAGACTGAAATGATGAAGGGCATGGGCGCATCTTTTTCTGAAAAGTGAAACCGGTTAAACTGACTTGTCTGGGTGGGGAGAACAGGGAAGGATAGTCCAAGAGCCCAGAAGTGCCAAATGTATTCTTGCGGACCGGTGATTGTCGTTCACTTTTTGTCCTCCGACTTCTGGAGAGCCTGTCAAGCATGGAGGAGGTGGTGATGGGGAGAACTGGCATTGGAAATCTGGAAATTGTGTTTGCAAAAGAACAGCGATGAAGTTTCGAACTAGTTCCTCGCAACCAAATAAAAAACGATGAAGCTTTCAACTACTTTCTTACAACCACTTGATGACCTTATTCGTGTGTCAAACTGCTAACCAATTCTTTGCAATCCCATTTGTTTATTTCCTAACCCCGTGTGATCACTACATATATAACAATCGCTAATTTCCCGCCTGTGACCGGCGGGCGATCGGGGGCGTCCATTGTTTTGAAGCAAGATGGTCCCAATCAGCTGCTGATCGTTTCCAAAACGATCAACTCACAATCTGGACCATCGGTGGTGTTATATCTCATGCTCCAGATTGAGAGTTGGTTGTTAGGAACTGAACGGTTGCAGAAGGCCGGTAGCACGCAGCATTGGCCAGGTGCCACGTCCCCGTGGCACCGGCCCGGCACCGCACGTGGCACTGACCAGGTACCACGCATGGCACTGGCCCGGTACCGGGCGTGACACTGACCTGGTAACACACGGGATACTGGCGGCTGGGTACCGCACGGCACTTACAGGGCATTCTGTAACTAACTTCTTGCGCCCGACTAGATGGTAGCACCGGACTAGTCGTTGATGTCTATGCCAGCCACTTTGCTCGACACTGTTACTCAACTCTGTGCTGCGAAGCACTGACTCTGACTGTGCTACTCTACTCTGCTATACAACGCCGCGCTCACGGTGTTCGCTACTTTATGGTGTGATGCAGACACACACACACACGCACACACACACACACACACACACACGCACACACACACACACACACACACACACACACACAC